CGTCTTCACACGTCGCCTGGTTAGGTAAAACACTATGCCTCTGTTATATCTGTCGAAAGGCATAGTATTGTGTCCTTCAGGAAATTATTTCATCATCATCGATATCGATTGATAATGCGACATATTGGTAAGTAACACTTGATGGTAAGTAGATGATGTCGCCACAGATATCATAATCTATCCTCGATTAAGAATCAAAATGCAGATGCGTTATCACCCCTAAGATGGAATGCCTCGGTAAAAAGGTTCAGCGGTTCTCTACACTCACAATACGAAACACAGCAGTATTGAGTTGCTATATTATTCTGATAATCTGTGAGAGCGTGGTCCTTCCCCGGCCGAGCAAACCCATTAAAATTTTGTTCTGTTTTTTGTCATAGCCAGTAATATACACATAAATCGTTGCCAAATTATAAAAAAAGTATTATTATTATTGTACTTTTGTAAAATCACACAATACTAATTCCATGTCCGACAAAATTGCCTCCGTATTTATTATTATATTTGAAAAATGTCATAAAATTACAAATATCATGGGTTACTAGGATGACACTGAAATAAATGAGTAATTTCACTGTCATTCTAGTAGACTTAAATATTTTTTTTATGGGATAGGGTGACAAACGAGCACACAGTCCACCTGGTGGTAAGTGGTTGCTGTGGCCCATAGACATCTACATATATCCTCGTTTGCGAATCAAAATGCAGATGCTTTGTCACCCATGAGGACTAAGATGGAATGCCTCTTTTCCAGTAAAAAGGGCCTCCGGTTCTGTACACTCACCATACGAAACACAGCAGTGTTAAGCTGCTATTTTACGGTGGTATTCTGTGAGAGCGTGGTCCTTCCCCGGTCGAGCCGACCCATTCGTGCTACAACTATATTACTAATATAGCTGCAGCATGGTTCTACCAGTTTAATTTTACTTATGACTTGAAATTTTCTTGATAAAGTAAAGGACTGTAATAATGATAATGAGGATGACGAACAGATTCAAGCGTAGGCATTTATTTATTTATTTATTTAACTTTTTTGAACCTTATAAAATATATAAGTACAAAAGGCGGACATAATGCTTAAAGCATTCTCTGCCTGTCAACCTTGAGGAGTGGAAAAACATCGAAGGCGGCTATTATAATACATAACAATAAAGAATACGAAATATAATGAATTTAGAAATTATAGCATATAAACATAAAGGTAAAAAAAATACATATACCATACATACATATACATATATATATATATATATATATATATATATATATATATATATATATATATATACAAACCACATACACACATATATATATACACAAATTCACATATAAATACATATATACACACAAATATACATATATACGTAAAATACATATTATGATGAAATTAGCTATTAACACAGATTAACTAAGATGATGACGCCAACTTAGGAGTTCTTTACGACTTTCAGAAAATGTTCTTTAACATACTTTTTAAATGTTACTTTGTTGGAGCGTTGTCTCAAAGTTTCAGGCAGTGCATTCCAAAGTCGCGCAGCTCGTACAGCAAACGAGGAAGAAGAGAAACCGGAACGGTGAAGTGGAATGGAGAGCGTAAGAGTCTCCGAAGAACGTAGAGGTCTATTATGCGTATCAGATAGAAATTGAAACTTACGTTTCAAATAGTCGGGACAACGATTGTCGAATAAAATAGAAAAAAGTGTGAGAAGTGTCCTGACTTGCCTCCGTTGGCGAATGGGAAGCCAATTTAGCTGAAATCTAAAGGAGGAAACATGGTCAAACTTGCGAAGACAGAAGATGAATCGGACACAGTTATTTACGAGACGATCCAGCTTGTCTAGAAGGTTCTCATTAAGATCAGTACAACACACATCAGCATAATCAATAATGGGCAAAATAAGAGACTGCACCAGAGTTATCTTTACCTTGACCGGAAGGAAGTTTCTAAGGCGATTTAGGGCACCCAACTTAGCAGTAACTGAAGCACTTATTGTTTGAATGTGAGTGGACCAATTGAGAGTTAAGTCCATACAGAGGCCTAGGTTTTTCACAGTGCTGGAATAAGGGATGCATGATCCATCAAACATGACAGGAGCGACAGAACAAATATCAAGTTTAGATAACTGACGAGCACTTCCTATCAAAATTGCTTGGCATTTGTTAGGATTCACTAGAATGCCAAATTTGCTAGCCCAATTGCTTAAATTTAATAAATCTGTATTAATATTGATAACAGCATTATTAATGTGATCCACATCAGTCTGAGTATAAATTTGCAAATCGTCGGCGTAGAAATGGTAAGAGCAGCAAAGTTGAGAGGAAAGGAAGTTAATAAAAATAGAGAACAATAAAGGAGATAATATTCCACCCTGTGGCACCCCAGATACAAGCTGACACCAGTCAGACAAATGATTACCAACTCGAACAGCTTGTTGGCGACCACAAAGGTAGGAAGAGAACCAATTTAAAGCAATGGAGGAGAAGTTTAGATTACCGAGCATAGCGAGGAGAATATCATGGTCAACCATGTTGAAAGCATTAGAAAAGTCCACGAGAACAAGCACAGTGACCTTTCTATTCTCCAAGCCATCCCGAATGTCCTCTGTAACTTTAAGAAGTGCAGTGGTGGTGCTATGTCCGGGACGAAAGCCCGACTGAAATTGAGTGAGCAAGTTATTATTATATATAAAACCTGATACTTGCCGGTGAACTATAGATTCCAGGATCTTTGATAAGAATGGAAGAATAGAAATAGGTCTATAATTATTGAGTTGCAAGGGGTTTGAAATTTTAGGAAGCGGAATTATATAGGCTTTACACCACAAAGAAGGAAATACCCCTGACAACAGAGAAAAATTAATGATGTGAGTAATGACTGGAAGAAAGAGTTCGAGAACTAAAGAGATCATAGCAAGACTCACATTATCACAACCCACTGCTTTTGATTTAATAGAAGCAAATGTTTTACGAACATCGTTAACAGAGACAAGCGAGAATAAGAAGGGTATTTGTAAAGGTTTGGCCTTGGAATTAATTTCTAAGATTGACTGGGACTTAATAACTGGAGAGAGTGAGGAACCTGTAGAAAAATAGGAATTTATGTCATTTAGAGGGAATGGGATGTTATGTTTCATAGTGGAGGATTTACATAGACCAAGAGAATTAAGAAATTTCCAAGTATCCGCCGAAGAATCACTAGATATATTGTCAAAGAAGTAACAACGCTTTGCCGCCCTTACCATTTGGTTGCAACGATTGCGAGCAATTTTGTACAAGTCCCAATTCTCATTGCTCTTGTCACGCTTAAACCTTCTGAAAGCTCGGTTGCGTCGAGTCATCGCCATGCGCACACCCTTCGTTATCCACGGAGCTGGTGGCCACTTAGCCCTAATAGATTTCACCGGTGCATGCGCATCAAACAGTTTCAGTGATAATTTAGTGAAAATAGATACTTTATCGTCAACTGATGACGCACAATACACAGACGAGAAGTCGATTGCCTTTGCATCAATCAGAAGCTTTTTCAGAAGCTTTATATGTGCAAATGATGGGAAAACAGACACAAAAGGTCACACGATGTAAATGGCAGTTGATTCGTACAGCCCGATTCGTTTCTATTTGTATTACAAAATTAGTTTTAAATAAATTACTTAATTAACTATTCCTTATTACTGTAATATATTTATTAGGACCCTTTTTATACTTTACATGATATTACCATTACATTACTCTCAGAATGCAGCAAATGTCAACTCACCAACTTAAAACCATTGCTATCATAAATACGTCGTCCATATACTTCGAAGCGCTTTCGAACCTTTTCAATAGCCAATTTTTAGATGGAGCGAAAAGTGCACATTACACATTACCTCTCTCGAGGATGTTGACACAATTTTGCGGGCTTCTATTTCTATGGAAATTTGAGACTTTGGATGTCATAAGGGAATTTCTCCGAATAAATTATGTAATTATCTTGGAAATACAATTATAAACTTTCTGAGATAAAAAATTTTACGAAAAAATATAATTCATTATCAGAGCTTATGTTTCAAATCTAGATGGCAGACCTATGTTCAGCGAAGTATTTGTGAAGAGCTGAAACGATAAAGATAATAATTATTTACTATTAAAATTTAATATAATTGGAAACGTTTTCGTTGTAAATAATTCAAAATGTGTCTCTCATAGACAGCAGTTTTTAGATTAATATCCCATAAGCATTAATAAGGGGGTTTTAAATAACATTTACGTAGTAGATATCGACTGGGAAAGGACCATGCTGTTACAGAACCAGCAAGAAACCCGCTGGGTTACTTGCTGGTTCTTCCCAGGACAGAGGGTTTTTTTCGAACCAGTGGTAAAGTAAAAAATGACTTTCACTAAGAATTACGCATGTAATGTATATTGAATAAAAATTATTCTATTCTATTCTGTTCTATTCTAGAATACCACCGTGAAACAACAAAATAATGTATTTGGTATGGTGAGTGTATAGAACCCGAAACCCTTTTTTTCTCGTAACAAGCCACAAAGAAACGCCTTAACAATTTCAAACAAAAGGAGTCTACAGTTAAAATACTGTCATCCCTCATTAACTAGTTAACGCTTTCAAGTGGAACAACTGCTTAATAGCCGAAATAGATAAGTACCAATGCATAGGCAAATAATTAGTACATAATACTATCTTAAAAATACGCAAGTGCATGTTAGTTTTTACGTCCATACTAGTAATTTTTGTTTACGTTTTCGATTTATTCATTCATACAGCCTATATCCGCTGCCGAAAATAGGCTTCCCTGATAAATTGCCTGATTATGTGGATATTTGCCATAGTTGGCACGCTTGGCAGGCGGGTTGGCAATAGCAGTTTTTTATGAATGAATGAATGAAATACACTTTTATGTACTCCAAAAAATATATATAATTTATTTAAAGGTACAATTGGCGGCCTTATCGCTTGGGAGCGGTCTCTACCAGGCAACCACATTGCAGAGGATAAAATGACCTGTGAGAAAGGGTAAGGGTGTACGTAGGTTGATAGAAAACACACGCGACATATATAATATAATCCATAAATACATACATCTATAATATAAATAAATACATTTTAAATACAAAAATATATACATACATATACGAGAGCAGAAAAGATTAAACAAGTGAAGTCAAAGCCTAAACGTAAGGAAAAATGAGTAGGTAGTAATTTTTTAGAGGAATGACTATTTAAGGAGGAAAGAAGTTTTTTAAACTTATCAATAGACTGCGCACTTCTAATGTGCAGCGGTAGGGAGTTCCAGAGCTTAACAGCTTCAACAGAAAAAGATTTAGAATAGAAGGAAGTGTTATGAGATGGAATTTTTAGGGTGAGGTTTTTATCAGAGCGAAGAGAGCGACAGTGAGTGTCACCAAGAAACTCAAACCGCTCTTTAAGGTAAGTAGGGGAAGTGGGATTGAATAGTATACAGTATAAAAGAGAAAGAATGTGAGTATTCCTGCGAAGACGGATCGGAAGCCACTTGAGTTTTTCGCGATATTCGGAGACATGGTCATATTTTCGAAGTCCAAATATGAACCGTATGCATAGATTCTTCATGCGCTCAAGTTTATTAAGCATCTCCTCATTTAAATTGAGATAACACGTGTCAGCATAACCGAGAATCGGTAAAAGAAGTGATTGTGCAAGCGCAATTTTGGTAGGTATGGGTAAAAATTACTTAATCGACGGAGAGATCCGACCGACGCAAACATTCTCCTACTTACCTCGCTTACCTGTGGAGCCCAAGATAAAAATTTGTCAAAAGTAACACCTAGATTTTTAACGGTTTCACTATATGGCACAGGTATCCCATCAAAAATAATACCAGGTATGGAAGAAAAATCTATAAGATTAACCAATTTTTGACTGCCTATAATTATTGCTTTTGTTTTTGATGGATTTACTTTAAGACCGTATGACTTACCCCAATCCACAATTAAGTCAAGATCTTTGTTTAATAAACCTATAGTATTGGGTAAATCCATCAATTTGGCATGCTCATATACTTGGAGATCATCTGCATACAGGTGGTAGCGAGAAGATAATTGGCACGCTCCAATCCAAATCGAACTAATGAAGATTGAAAAGAGGAGAGGAGACAACATGCCACCTTGCGGTACACCTGCATTAATCGTACACCAGTTAGAGAACGAATCATCTACACATGTCCGTTGCCGGCGACCAAACAAGTAACTATGAAACCAGTCAATCACTACAGGAGATATGTTAAGAGAAGCTAAGATAGCTAACAGTAGATCAAAATCTACATTGTTAAATACATTACTAAAGTCAAGTAAGGTCAACACTGTTACGTGCTGTTTATCCATACTTAGACGAATATCCTCTGTAATCTTGACTAAGGCAGTATTCGTATATGACCAACACGGAAACCGGATTGGAAAGAATTGAAAAGACTACACCTAGATAAGTAGATGCTCAATTGTCGATGAACTATACGCTCAAAAACTTTTGAAATTATGGATATGGGGCGGTAGTCAGAGAAACTGGAGGGATTTGCTTTTTTGGGTATAGGAGTAATCTGGGCTTTTTTCCAGGAAGAGGAAAAATTTCCGGATGAAAGGGAATAATTAAAAATGGATTTTATAACAGGAGTCAAGATATCGACAATAGGGATAATCATTTTACGACTAATGCAGTCTGTACTAATTGCATCAGAATTGATCTCAACAATGCTTTTCTTAATTTTTAAGATTTGACTAAAAATAAACGCAGGATTGTCAGATTTGGGTAAAGCTGAAATTTGAGTTTTAGTTTGTATTTTTGTGACCTCATCTATGGCACAAGAAGAAGAGAAATGTTGATTTAGCTGGTTTAAGTCAATATTTTTGGGGCTACTATTTTGACTCGCTTTCCCAACTCCAAGAGACTTAAGAAATTTCCATACTCTGCCGGAATTATCTTCATCGAGTATAGATTTATGAATATAGCGTCGTTGTTTATCTCTACACAACCTGTTGCAGTGATTCCGAATTTTTTTATATTTATCTCTATTGGTATCACAGTTATCAAATTTATACCTGGCTTTTGCAAAATTTTTCTTACGCTGCAAATTTTTGATCTCCTGAGTAAGCCAGGGAGCAGGCAAATGCTTAATCCGGACCGGCCGAATTGGAGCATGAACGTCGTAGAGTTGTATTAAAAGAGAATTAAAGCTATTAACCCTTTCGTCAATGTTAGCTCCAGTAAGAACAACATTCCAGTCGATCTTTGCAGCCTCATCTCTCAGACGATCTAAATCCATACCATCAAAATTACGCAGCAGAAGGATTCTCGATTTAGGTTTAGGTGGTCGTAATTTGTATGATAAGTAAATCAAGTAAATCAATCAAGTATGAAAATGCATCAGCAGTACACTGACCATGTTTAAGAGGGAGAATATGTAAGTTAGCTGCTTGAGCTATAGATTTCAATCGAAAGGAGCGCGAGTCATTTTTTAGAAGGCACGTGTTAAAATCACCCATAATGTTAGAGTGTTGATACAGTGGAATATATTTGTCTAAGAGGCTTTCAAACGTAGAAAAGTAGTCAACTGTAAGGCTAGGATTATAAAACACGCCAAGTAGTAGCTTGGAACCAAAAAAAAAACTTCAATAATTAAATGTTCAGCTCCTGTCGTGCCCTGGTCAGATGACATACTTATAATTGTAAATGGTAAGTGTGACCGAAGGTAGATAGCAACACCTCCACCAACCCGAGTAATTCGATCATTCCTTATTAGTTGAAAGCCTGGAAGAGCATATGATGTAGAGGACAAACAAGGCTTAAACCAAGATTCAGATATCAAAATAGCATGTATGTTTTTATTATCAAATGAGGAGAGCATGTCTGGATAATGTGCTGGAATACTCTGGGCATTAATATGGATAATCTTGAAATTTTTCAATAGATCTGAGAAGTGCGAATCTAATGTTTGATTAAGAGAAGAGAGGCTGTAGAAACTATTACTACTATTCAATCCATCAGAGGATGAAGGTGAAAAAAAGGAGACGTCTAGGCTTATATCTTGAAAAGACATATTGAATATTAAATATTAATACTAAATATAAATTACTTAAATAAATAAAATGGAATATAAATAATAATAAAAAAGACAGGTCATAAAACCCACCAGCAACAGACCGTCATCACCACTCGTATCAAAATAACAGAAAAAAGTAAAAAAAAAAGAATAAAAATGTTGTAACATGAGTCTACATAAGAGAGGGGAACATGACATGTTAAACATTAATATTATTTTTAATGCATACTACAAACATAAACAAAAATCAAAAAAAATTAAAAATAAAAGTAACTTACAAGACATAAACATAAATAAAAAAAAAACAAAGTACTCAGAAAGTATTACTCAAAGTACAGGAATCTATAGCAAAAATGAGAAATTTAAAATTAAGTTAAGACATTGTTAGTTTTCAGTATGACATAAAATGTTTTATAGTAAAGAAATGCATGGTATGAATATTCTAGTAAGGCAATGAGTGAAGCAAAAAATTACAATAGTGTTTTGTAATTTATGAGCAAAATGTTATTACTACATAAATTATTATAATAAATTTATTAAATTACTACGTGAAATAATTATGAGAAAAAGAAACTGCTTGAACACAACGAACACTACATTTGAACAACAAACTAAAATCTAATTTAAGCATTATCTTATTTTTTAACCACTTGCCTTGAACGGGGAAGAGGTAATCCAGTCACCGGGCTTTTAGCCGCCTGTACAAAACTTTGGACCTGCAATGTTGCGGTCGCTTCCGATTCAGCAGAATCCTGCTGAATCGGAAGCTTCTGCTGAATCGGAAGCGACCCCTTTAGGAAAAAGGGGCACCATCGCAATTCAGAAAAAATTATAATTTATACAACGCGATCTAAAACGTTCTTTGTGAGAAAACATCCTTTTTTTTTAATTTAAGGAAAACATTTTTTGTTTACTGTGTTTTAAGTATATTATAATATAACGTTTTTTTTTTACACACGAATCTTTTTATTACTATTTCTGAGTTTTATGGCGCCTTTTTACAGATTCGAACCTAGATTTCAAAATAAGAATCTTAACTTTCGATAGAATTAACCAATTTTAATAAAACAAAGATTAAAAATGAACTCGAATATACGCTTTATGATTTTCTTAACGACTTCTTTGCAAAAAAGATGTTTACTCAAAACGTTGATGCGTTCATAATCAAACAGACAAACCAACAGACCGACAGACAGACAATTCTAAAAGATATAAAAATGTACTTATTTAATAATTGTCAGTCCCCATAATGATTTTAGTCACAAACATACCTACTATACAATGTACATAAACAGATACAACATGTTATCACCATTTTTATTATGTGTATAGATTTAAAGAGAGATGGTGCTGTTAACATCAATTCTAAAAATAAAAGAGATTAATTGACGCAATTGGTACATTATATAAAACATAAAAACACTTATAAATGAGTGCGTGCATAGTAAGCAAAAAAGAAAGTTTGATCCTAGCCGAAACCAACGAAATTGTTAATAGCTGTTTTAAAATTTTATTTACCAATTAGATTACTCGGCGGTAAAGAATAATTGAGTGTGTCAAAACGCAGTAGGGCAACGACTAATATAAAGATTAGCAGCAAATATGAAAACTCATCTACATAAAAAAACCACAACCTGCCTTTTAGTATTACATTTATACAAACCGCCATCTATCGATGAAATTGGTTAACTATTGTACTTTAGACTTAGATAATAAGATAAGATTAATATATTTTTGTATAATATACTTATTATGTTCTTTTTCTTTAATACTTTTGTTTACTGCGTTTTAGATATAATTATATCATTATAGAACATCATTAATTATGATTTATAATATGATGTTAGTTTAAAATGCACTTGATGACTCAATCAACCCATACTTCAGAATATTTATCATAACTTTTGATGGAATGAACTGATTTTAATGAAATAAAGACTAA